CTTTAATTTAATGCCTTCTATTGTATCGAGAATATCTAAAAATTTTAATTAAGTTTTTTTTAAATGAACCAAAAAGTTGTTTTGAAAAAGAAAAATAAATAAATATAATATAATATTTTGGAAAACCTGTTATAATTATCATAAAATAAATTTTAAAATTATATTTTCCAATCGAGGGAAGAGAATATATTTTTAAAACTTATTAAATTATTTTAATGAGTTTTTTAGTGTTCTTATTTTAATTTATAAATTAGAAGTTTTCGTATAGTATTATATAATTTTAAAAATATTATACATATTTCCATATTTTATATTATATTCCTTGTATAATGCTGCTAAATAAGATAAATATACAAAATTATTTATTTAAAAACAAAACATAATCTGAATTAGATGGCCTAAACTCTATTCATAGAATTAACAGAAACTGTACAAGAATTTGATATTTTGAAGTTATTTTAAATTGATTTTATAACTAAACAAAAATATTAAGGAACATAATAAGCACCGCCTAAACATGCACATTATCAAAATGTTTTATCAAATTATATAAATTTTTGCATAGTGCATTAATTGTATCTATAGCATGACCAAAGAGATACTCCAGTAGGTAATTAAATGGTTTTAAATTTACTTTAAATAACATAATATTAAGTTGCATTTTTTAATCGATCAAATTATTTATACATTCGCATGTCTTAATTGTGTTTAAAAATATAATAATAATATAGAATAGTGAATAATAGAAAAGTTTAAATACATGACTTGACTACAATTTTAGGCTTAAGTTTATTTAAAAACGAGCAAAGATTGAATACAAATATATGAAACTACAAAATGTTATAACAAGACACTCAGGAAACAATACTAAACTAATTACACTATTATTGTAACACTCGTTAAGCACTTATGGCATCCAATGAAAACATTATTCTATAATCCAATGCAAACATCATAAACATTAAAAGATAACATCTTTCGACAAATCTATCATTTAGTTATATAACCATACAATTAGTGATGAGTTTTGGTCTTTATGCTGAGAAAAAATGAAGATTTTTATATTAAACGCAAACATTATTACTTATATTTCAATTATTTTTTATTGTGAGACATTCATTTCAGAGACTTTTGACTTGAATAAAAGAATTTATAGTCATTTATATGTGAAATATGTCACAAACAGCAGAAAAATCAACGATCGTGTGATGACACAAAGAGTGAGAATTGATTTTTATCTTTGAAAATATAAAAATTCTTTAATATCAGTTTTTATTTTGTCAAATAATCTAATTTTATCAATTTTCCAATTTTTTATGGCTAAATATACAATTATGAACCATTTTTACAATTTTCACATTTATTTAGCGAAAAAATTAATCGAAAAATAATTTTGAGCCAAATATTTCATAGAAAGATATCTCTTATTAAAAAAGTTTATATTATATATAGCTATTGAACTGAAACTATTGAATGAACAATAAGTAATGAATTGAATGGCTTTTGTTCGCTAATTCCAAGACATTTAATCTGTTTTTTCAAAGTTTCTTCAGCGACACAATACATTGGCTGCAAAACAATGCTATTATTCTGTGACCACTCAATGGGATTATTCAACAAATATAACACAACAAAATAGACAGAGACTCGTAAGAAATGCATTCATTCATTCAAATACATTGTATTAAAAGTAAACACTTTTAATAATAATAATTGTCTCCAATTTTATGTTTTTTGTTCAAACGTTTAGTTTTTTATAGGAATAAGGATTTAATCTTTTTTTAATGTTTTGTTGGTTTTTGTTTTCCAGAATATATATATATTAATAATTAATTTCTAGTAAATATTTTGTGTTAATTAATAATCTCTAAGGATTGGGAGCATAAAAATGAAAATCAATTCTTTGTACTCTATTTTTCTGTAATCAAAACACAGAGATATTATATACAATACATGTATTCATAAGCTATTACTGTATATATTCTAATCACAAAAATATCATTTAATTAAAGTTAATGAACGTATATATAAAAAGTGAAAATTACACAAAAATCAGATTAAGATAATTATATTTCTACTAAATTGATAACTTATTTAAAGCTGAACGCAACCCAAGTGTTCAATAGATTTCAAAAACAACAATCAATTGAAGCAAAAAGTTATGATTGGAGTGATTTCGATGACAACACTCTGCGACAGTTTCAAAAGATAGCTCTAATTGGAAGCGCTGTCTTGGAGGGCAACGACGGCTTAACAGTATTACAGAAATAAATAGCTTTTCGTTGATAACAATTACATGAATTAGAGAAATTTTCCAAAACCCTATCATTTAGTACTCGCGGGTCTTAAACGAGATGCAAACCATTTATAGCACAGCAAAAGTATGTCTCGGAAGCAAATGCGGTCTTGAATTAGAACCGGGTATTCAACACATATTAAAGTGACTTCTTTTTTGGGCACGATTTTAAAATGTTGTTTAAATTGTTGAAAGATTTGACTCAAATAATGGCTACTTCTGGCAATTATTCAGAACTATTAGAGGCGTGGGTTAAATGGAGAGACGCTTCGGGTAAACAAATGAGAAATAAATTCATTACATATTATAGTTTGGGTAATAAAGCGGCACAACTTAATGAACTCCCAAATACAAGTAAATGGCATTTATTCAATTTGCATTAAACCTCATTTAACAGATGTATAACAATATTGTAATTTTTATTTAATTATTTATTGTATAAATAAATCAAAAGAATTCGAGACATTGTCTGATGTGTGGCTATTTCAATGGGAAACGCCTGACATTAGGCAACAAACGTACAAATTATTGCAACAATTAATGCCATTCTATCAGAAACTTCACGCATACCTCCGGATCAGACTAAGCGATGCATTGCCCACCAGAATGCCGACAGATAACACCATTCCCGCACATGTATTGGGCAATATGTGGGCTCAACAATGGACTCATACCATGAATACAGTTAAAGGCGTCGACCCTTACCCTCAAATCGAAACAATCGATGTGACCGATGCTCTCAAAGCACAAGTATATCATCAACTTATTTGTATTACTATTTTAATTATAAGTTACGTTCACTACTTCTACAACTAATTATTCATTGAGTGATTTAATATTCATACAGAACTATAGCGCCCGCAAAATGTTTCAACTCTCCGATCAGTTTATTAAAGATCTAGGTTTGGATGAAATGACAGATCAGTTTTGGGAGAATTCTGTATTTGAGAAACCAAAGGATGGCACAGAAATGGTTTGGTAATGCATATGATTTGAACTATATTTACATTTTTAAAATAAAATATCAATTGTCTTAAGCTTATCGAAATAGAAAACTTTTATGAGTTATAATTTATAACTATACAGTAAAGAATAACTATTGTTCTAGTTAGTTACACAGTAGTTTGAATTCTATACATTACTACAAATATATAGTCATGAAAATGTAATACAATACTTATAATGTATATTCTTAAATGATTTTATTGATATTTTATGCAAACTCCCATTTCAATTCAATTCAATTCAATTCAATTCACTCGTCACCTATAATTGAATATCTGAATCATATAGTTAGTGGTGATGTTAATACAGCATTGCTTAATATTAAATCACTATAATATTAACGATAATAGAAATCTAAAAAACATTTTATTAATAAAAGTTGAGCTCATAGTTAAATTGAAGGACAAAACAAAGAAATAAATATAATGTTAATTAAGCGTATTTTCAGTCACGCGTCGGCCTATGATTTCTATACCACCGATGACTTCAGGTTTGTTATTGATTTGCATTTAATAATTGTTACTTTAATTTATTTAAACAGTTTAAATAAATTACCCAGAATAAAACAGTGCACTCGAGTCGATATGGAGAGCTTTATACGAGTGCATCACGAAATGGGTCACATCGAGTACTACATGCAATACAAACACCAGCCCATCGTCTATCGTGAGGGCGCTAATCCAGGTTCTGGTCATCGCTATTACCCCTAAAACAAAGCCTTTCCGAACCAATTGATTGCCTATTATTTAGGATTTCACGAAGCGATTGGAGATGTGTTGGCCCTATCCGTGTCCACACCTAAACATCTCAACAAATTAGGACTTTTAAGAATCACTGACTCTTTGGATTCACACAAAATGAACATTAAATTCCAATTGAAAATGGCTTTAGAGAAAGTCATTCTTTTGCCCTTTGCTTTCATTGTGGATAAATGGAGATGGGACGTTTTCTCTGGCAATGTCTCAAACCGAGACCTAAACAGGCACTGGTGGACATTGAGGGGACAGTATCAGGGTATCTCTCCACCTGTTAAGAGAAGTGAACATGACTTTGATCCCGGTGCTAAGTTTCATATTGCTAATAGTATTGAATACATTAGGTATTTTTGACACTGATTAATTCCAGTTGCAAACAATCACATTGACATTTGAATTTCATAGATATTTTGTGTCCCAAATACTTCAGTTTCAATTACATAAATCTCTTTGTGGTTTCGGTCAAAAACATGTTCCTCTCTATGAGTGCGATATTGACGGCGACAAAGAGGCCGGAAATAAATTGAAGTATTTATACATTCATTTGTTTAATTCAAATGTTTCAGTAAATTAAATGGTATTTTAGAGAAATATTGTCATTGGGTTCCTCCGAAAGATGGTCTCACCAATTGAAAAGACTGACAGGAAGTATGGAAATGGATGTCAAACCACTGCTCGAGTATTTTAAACCACTACAAGACTTTCTGGACCAACAATTAGAGGGAGAAGAAATTGGATGGGATTTTAATGGTATTCTTTATCTCTCATATAAATTATAAATTTCTTTCAAAAAGTAATTTTTCTTTTAATTTCATTAATATTTATCACATAATGTATACTGAAGTTAATTAACATTTTATGCAAATTTCTATTTCCAGTCGACGATTACTTCTACTAAACATCGCTTCAAAGGAGTCCAGAAATAAAACATTTTCTTTTATTCTTCTATTAGTGTTATAATAAATTATAAGATATAACTTATATACTTTATATCATATAAGACTTTTCAGTCTTGAAATGGTATAAAGTATATACTTATATAGTTTTCTCACTTCTGGTTATTGTATTTAAAAATATGAATATTGTTTGTGACTTATTTGTTATAGTTTTACAATAAGTTAAGACTTTTTGATGTAGTGTTCGATCGCCTGAAATGAGATCATATATGAGTTCCTCATATTTGGGTTTTCATAAGAATTGTCAGCCAAATAATAATAATACAAAAATAGGTCAAAATTAATCGAAAATTTATATTAAATATTAATTCTTAATCAAGAATTGACATGCAGTTAAAG